TATGAAGTATTTGCTATGAAATATGTGCTATGTGTTTATATATTGTTGTCTATTTGAGATGAGTGTGGAATGGATGTTGTATATAGTTTTAAATGAGTTAAACTGTATATGTATTTTATATCTACAAATATGTTGGGTAGAACATGGGTAGATGAGATAGTTGGTGTGTGATAAAAGATGAGTTGGATAATGAGATAAGAGGTTAGTTTAGATCCGGGAGTATGGATAAGATCAAGAGGTTAGTTTTAGATTCGGGAGTATAGATCAGGTAAAGAGATAAACTTGTTATTAGTCCGGGAGTATGGATTAAGACAGAGTTAATTGTCCCTAGTCCGGGAGTATGGATTGGGCACAGTTTTAGATCCGGGAGTATGGATCAGATCAGGATTAAGACAGAGTTAATTGTCCCTAGTCCGGGAGTATGGATTGGGCACAATTTTAGATCCGGGAGTATGGATCAGACCAGGAGATTAGTTTTAGATCCGTGAGTATGGATCAGACCAGGAGATTAGTTTTAGATCCGTGAGTATGGATCAGGTGAGGAGATTAGTTTTAGATCCGTGAGTAGGGATCAGGTAAAGAGGAAAATTTTAGATACGAGAGTTTAGATCGTGTCGTGGTGAGGATCGACGGGGTGGGATAAGAGTTGCTTTTAATATGGTGAAATTGTATAAGTTTGTGAGTTCCAATATATATATGATATAACATTGTGGGTTGAAAACCCTATATGCTCACCAGGCTCCCAAGCCTGACCCACTCAGTTTTCTTTGTATCACAGGTATCGATACGAAGACATATTTCACTGAGAGATTTAAAGGAGATGTAAATCATTAGTGTAAATAAATGTAAGTTCAGTTTATGCTTATGTGTCTGTATCGGAACATGACATCCCGAGATTTTGTTATATAATGAAAATACATTTCTTTAAGAAATGCTTTTGATAAATTCTTATCATATTTCGTTTTGGGAACAAATTCCGCAATAGTTTTCTTTAAACGATTACTCTGATTTTAAAAACAAAGCATAAACAAATCGGTCTTTTCTGGCCATGAAATTGGGGATGTCACAGTACCCTTAGGTATGCCCTGCGTACTCGATCTAAGTTCAAAACTCTTCATTAAGTTCTTAACCCCTTAAGACCTTTCACCCAATACTTAGATCTAACCCCAAATAGCATCCTAAATCATACAGTTTCCATCTTTATGACTTTTCATGGCTAGAAAGTGTCCAAATCCAAAGCCTTAACTTATCACAAGATCCTACGCCCCATAACTCATGCATGGATGTAAAGGAAGGAACAATATAGCATTCTTATGACTCCATGCACTCAAAAATGTCTAAAAAGGATACTCATAAGCTTGGAGTAGCTCATACCCAACTAGACTAAGAATATGGGATAAAAGGGACATAAACCTAAAGCTAACAAGATCTAACAAGTTATTCATCAAGTTTTGAACTTTATACCTCCTGGAGAATGATTAGGAGATGCAATCCTAGATCCACAAGGCCTGGAGCTTTCCAAGAACCACCACCACCACCACCTTCTTCTTCCTTCAAAAGCACCAAAAAATACACTTTCAAGCTCACAAATCACTAATATGGTCTTAGGTTTTCAAGGGAGTTGTTTGGGGAATTGGAGGCTGAGAATCAAGAGGGTTTATGAAGGTTAAGGTGTTTAAATAGAGCTGAAAACCCCAATTTTAGGGTTTGGACCCTAGTAGAGTACACCCTGTGTACTCCTAACTACACCATGTGTAGTTCATTAAACCCTCGACAACTCATCCCTTCTACGCAGCGCCTAGATGCTATATACGCCCTGCATAGATTAAAACTCAAAACATATACTTAATATTTATGGAAGGGAATTACCTGCAAGGGCCGAGCGTTACAATTGCACCATGTGTTGGGCTACGAACCCCCTCGTCTTCTGATTCGGTTGACCAAACTTCAATATTTCCATCATCGTTGTTATCCACTTCCACTACCAAATCCTTTCCCTAAAAGTTTGATTTTTTCAGATCCTTAATCTTTTGTATGTAGTAGGCTTTACCTTTTTCATTCTCCTTCTTCTCATTCTGATTTTGCAACATACATTCTCTTGAAAAATGGTTCTTCCCATTACAATAATTACATTCATATCCAGAATCACCCAAAAATTTCTTTTCCATATTCTCTTCTTCTTGTTGATAATTTTTGACTCCTTCACTTTGTTCTTCCTAGCATACGAATTTCCTCCTTTGTATCCATTACGTTATACATCAGTATTTGCATTATCACTTCCTCTAAACTATGAAACATTATTCTTAAAGAATTTGTTTGGATTACTGACCATGAGAGCTTTTTCTTCACTAGTAAATTTATCATCTGTCGCATCTGATTCAGAATCATCAACAACTACCATTTCCTTGGATTTTCTTTCTTTTACAACTTCTCCTTTTCGCGACCGAAGACAAAGGACATGCATCTACACTTGCTTTTTCATTTTCCATGACCTCATCTTCATGAGATTTTATAATACTTACAACTTGTGCTAATGAGTAATTTTTAAACTGTTTATGTGCCTTCATAGTTGAGTTAAACTTCTTCCATTCTAAATCTAAATTATTCATGAAAGCAACCTTTTCTTTAATCGTTGCTCTCTTCAATTTGTACTTCAACATTCTACTAAGTGATTAAAGCTACTCCTAACTTGATCAATTGTCTCACCAATCTTCTATTAAAAAGATACAAACTTTGAAAGTAATATTGTTTGCACAAAATGAGTTTGATCAGCATCACCGGAGTAAAGTTTCTTCAGTCTCCCCAAAATTACATGAGTCGTATCAAAATAGCTTGCAAGTATAAATGTGTCTGGTGGAAGTGCAAAACGTAAATCTCTCTTATCTCTTAAATCACCTTCAATATAATCAGCAACTGTTTTAACAAATTCCTTCGTCTTAGCACATTTATGAGAACCTTTAGTGATTCATATGCAAATATATGATCCATGTCTTTCAATTCCTGAGATGTGATGTTCAAAGTGTGACACCTAAACTTCATAATCTTCAGAAAACAAAATTGGAATATGAGTAGATATCTTATACTACTTGACAAATTGAAAGAAACAACATGAAAATCTTCTTTTGACATGATTTCAAATGGAAATTTTGAGTAAGAATCAAATCAATGAGCAAATTCATAATTCAAATCAAAACGGATAATGGAACACGGAATTCCAAATCAAAATTGTAATTAGATCGCCAAATGTGGAATACATCTAAAAAACAAGGTAACAAATAAAGAACATGAATAACACGAACGATTTTTGATGATTTGAGAAACAAATCAGAGAAATCCTTTCTCTGATACCACTTGTAGGATCAATCATATTCTAGAAGACAAAACTCATGTTTGTAAACAAGAAATTGAATGAACACCAAAGGGTAACTATGGTTTGTTTTCAATTAGAGAGTAAAAAGTTTGATTACAATGTTGATAGTAAGAACCTCACAAAAGATACTCTATCAATCTTACTAACATCCCTTATATATAAGACACAACAAGGGAGTCGATTAGGAAATGACCAATCTGGTCATGACACATAAGTTAAGATAGCCTACCAAACTAACTAACAAAAACTACAAAGCCTAGTGCAAAAACTATGAAACAAAATATCCTTTTGTAGATACAAGTTGAAGACAAAAAATACAATATTGTGAAACCTTTCACATACAGACTGAAACACAACACCTACGAAATGCAAGACCTAACATATGGCTCACCAAGGTGTAATATGGCCGAATAAGATGAACTAGGGGTTGTCTTGGTGGGCAATTGGAATTGATTAATTATTAATAAGAATTAATCTAGAATTAATTCAGGATTAACTGGAATTAATTAAAGGTCCAATGGTTGAATTGTACTTTTTCATAATTGAGCAATGAAAGAAAATTCTAGAACCCATATAAGGGTGAACGAAATTACGAGGTTTTTTAAGGTTTCCAGAAGCCTCCTGGTTGTAAATAAGGAAATGATTTGAATTGGGATTAAATATATTATTTAATCATTCAAATCTTGTTTTGTCTCTTTGTTACTTAAACTATAAATAGGACCCCTTGGGACCTTAAATTCGTTCATACTCTTCCTTGGAAGATACCTTGGCCGAAAATCTCTTCTCTCCTCTTGTCTTCTATTTCTAGGGTTTTGGTGTGAGCCATTAGAGGCATCATTCTTTTGGTGCTAATCTTTCCAAGACCAACACTGCAAGGAGATTGAAGTGATATGCTTACTACAATAAGTCAAAAGGTATGTAACTCTATACTTGGTAATTTCAAATTACACTAGGGTTATGCTATTTTTAGTTATTCATTGTATGTAGCTATCAAGGTGTATGACATAAATCTTTCATAGGATACATGTACCCTATTAATTGTTAATTGTTTTCTGCATTGTACAATTTTTTTCCTATAAAACCCATCAGTACTCGACTTCATGTAGGAGGGAGAGAAAGGGGAGGGGGAGAGAGAGAGAGAGAGGGCCCCACCGGTTAAAAATGAAATAAGAGAAGGGCATTATAGTCTTTTTATTTATATTTAACATAAAAACTAACGGTCTTAGTCATGAGGATTGTTGGTGAGAAATTTCTCCAAAGGGACCATTCACGCAAAAAAAAAAGTTCCATAAAGGTTGTTTTGGGATACAACATTGTACTTTGGCACAAAATAATAATTTATCCCATGGCTTATGAACAACATTAATTCCTTGCTTTATTCTACTATAATAATTTGTTTGCATATAGATGTGAATCACAAGCAGATTAAATTAAAGTGCCTTGAGTCAATGTTAGATGCGGTTTTTCCATCCTCCAGTATCCTGCTACATATATACAATATATAACTCCACATTAGCACAACACAATACCATTTGAGTAAGTGATAAAATCATGTTTGTAAATTAATATTTTTATAAAGATAAAAACTAACCTTATTGTGCATGACTTGATTCTAGCCAAGAAAATAAATTTAGGATATCAAGTCATCATTCGGACCGTTACCATCCATGTCTTTCAGGTAATCAGGAAAATCGTCAGATGTTTGTCTTGGGATTGATGAAAGGTTATATGGATCCGAGACTCCTTCACCAATATCATGTGAACCAGATATTGCTTGTAGAAAATAATTATTGGTTGATTTAGTGATTTTGCTACCAACGCCTTCATCTTGACTTGAATCAAATCCATTTCCTAATGGAAATAGGATATCAGGTGTAGGTTGGACAATGTTTTGTGGAATAAATTCGTTCATTATTGGCAAAACTCTGGGGGTTTGTTCATTCTTGTGTTTCTCATCTATCTGCCATCCATTGATTGACAAGTTAATGCCAATAACAGTACTATGATCTTCTTTAACGTTTTTATTGGTTTGTATCAAGGGCATACAACCAAACTTTCTACCGCTAACCTCTAGTGGTGAAACATTACTGGACAACGTAGAGCTATTTGATGAAGTGGGCGTTCTCCCTCTTTCATTACATTTCCATTTTTCCTTGCGGCATTTCTGATATGCAAGTGAACAATTTAAAATAATTAAACCAATAGCAAAAATTAATACTAGATGAAAAAAATATACAACTGTTGTATCATCTCTGGAAACTATTAATAATTCATTTGTTACACATTCATAAAAGATATACGACACCACTAAGAAGAGAGTAAAAGACTATGTCAGTAACTAAATATTTTAATACTTGACGTTTGGTTAGGGACATGTTGAACATATACTTATATATTTTTCGTATTATAATTACTAATGACAATAATATGTGCTATTTTTTGGTTTTAATGAACGTTAGTGTCTAGTTCATGTGGTGACGAAGAAATAAAGTAAATTGTAAGGAAGTCATAACCAAGATACATTAAATTAATTTCGTAGCGAATAATATTTGTATGCTTACTTGGTTACTATTGTAGGTTCGTATTTATTTTCTCTTAAAATCATCTCCTCCAATAAAGATGTTGAGTACAAATTCCTAGTGTTCCAAAAACAAAAGTTTATCACAATTTAGGCACCAATATTTCTTTTACCTTGAGTGATCTTAACGAATGTGTAGGATGCAAAATATCATTGTTCTTCTATTGTGTATAATAAAGATTTTTGATGTTTAATATTATAACACAGTTAAAGCAGCTGAGATAGTGTCGAGGCCACTACCCCATCCCCCTCCACGTCATTTTCTTCACATGCCGATGCCGAAGAGAGAGTACTCATCAGTACACTGACAGCCCAAAACAGAAGAGGGTCTAACAACTTTAATTCTTACTCAGCCCATCAGCACAATATAATACTTGGCCCGATTCCGTCAATTCATTTAGAGGCCCACCATGTTTGTTGCTACCTCCGTTTCACCCTCTGGACAATTAAATCAAAATGCAATCTCTCAGGATTGGTTTGGACACAATCAAAATGCAGTCTCTTCAAGAATCGGGCACCAATGATTGGATTATGGGCACTGGCGCCACCAACCATGCCCATGAAAATGAAGGTATCCTCGACTCTATTAGTCATAATAAAATTTCTCATTCTATTTTAGTTGGTAACGGATCTCATATACCTATAACTAAGACCAGCCACTCTTTTTGCCCATTATGTACTCTGCACCGTCCCCTTCACCTTCATAATATTCTTATCACACCCACCATAATTAAAAACCTTATTTGTGCTCATAAATTTACATGTCAAAATAAATTTTCTATTGAATTTGATGAGTTTGGTTTTATTGTCAATGATTACAGAACAAACCAACCTCTAATTCGACGTGATAGTAATGGCCCTCTCTACTTGGTTCTACCTTCCACACCTCAATCTCACATTTCCACAAGTCCTTCCACTTGGAACCAACATCTTCGCCATCCCGAAGATAAAATTTTGCAATCTTTAATTTGCAATAATTCCATATCTCGTAATAAGACAAAGTTAAGTGTTATTTGTCAACCATGTCAACCTGGAAAACATGTTAAACTTCCTTTTGCTTTATCATCAACATGTGTTTCACATGTATTTGATATCATTCATTCGAATATACGGACTTCTCCAATTGCTAGTACCGGTGGTTTATGATATTACGTTATGTTTCTCGACCACTACTCTCATTATCTTTGGGTTAACCTACTCAAACAAAAATCTAATGTATTTTCTTAATTTTGATTTCCTCCAATTACATCAAAAACCAATTCAACAAAATCATCAAATATTTACAATGTAACAATGGGGTGAATATAATAAAAACAATTTCATGACCATTTTGCTACCCATGACATTTAATTTCGTTTATCTTACCTCCACACCTCTCAATAAAATGGCAAATCATAAAACATATTACAAACAATTAACAACTCCATTCAATCACTCCTTTTTGAAGATCACATGTCACCCACATATTAGGTGGAATCCCTTCACATGGCCACTCATTTACTACATATTCTTCCTTCCACCATAATTCAAAATGACACTCCTTACTTCCGTGTCTTTCATACTCACCCTACCTATACCCACGTATGTTGGTCTTTATCCTACCTTCACCTCACCACTCCTCACAAACTCGCACCCCGATCTTCCCCATATGTTTTCTTGGGTTATCCCTCAAATCATTAAGATTATTATGGCTTAGACTTGTCATCTTGAAAAATAATTATGTCTCATCATGTCATATTCGATGAGACCACGTTCCCATTCAAATCTATTACACCAAACGAACAACCTTCATACATTTTTCTTGATGATTCATTTTACCCCTCACCTATCTTTCACAACATCATTAATCCTTCAACCTCTTCATCTCACTCCTCGGCCTCCCCTCTACCTGAGGATTCTCTGACCTCCGATCACCCCTCCTATTCACCTCACATATCCATATCGGCCCCTACCTCTCATATAGCTCCATCTGTAACACTCAACCCACAACCAACCCAACCTTCATACCACCTCTGTTTCCTAACTGGCTAAGAGCTATGAATGATGAATTTAATGCTCTTATGACTAATGTAACATGGAAGCATGTTCCACGGCCTCAAGGGTTCAACATTGTTAGGTCCATGTGCCTCTTTCATCATAAATTTCATGTAAATGGTATGCTCTCTCTTTATAAATCCAGACTTATAACAAATGGGAGGAGTCAACAATATGAGGTGAGTTGTGACGAGATTTTTAGTTCGACTGTTAAACTGGAAACCATTCGTATTGTTCTCATCATAGTGGTTTCATGTTATTGGCCCATACATCAGCTTGACGTGAAAAATGCTTTCCTTCATGTCCATCTCTAATAGACAGTATACATGCATCATCCACCCGGTTTTCAGGATTCTCAATTTACCGACCAGGTTTGTTGATTGCAAAGATCTCTATATGGCCTTAAACAGGCTCCTAGAGGTTGGTACCATTGATTTACTCAGTAGGCCACCAATATAGGTTTTCACCAGAGCCTCTCATATCCATCTCTATATTGATGACATCATTTTGACAACTTCTACCTCAAACCTCCTCAGACAGATCATATCTTAGCTCAGCCACAAATTTGTTATGTCCAATCTTGGTGCACTAAATTACTTCCTTAGCATCTATGTTGTCCGATCTGCAAACAATCTCTTTCTTTCTCAAAAAAAGTATGACATCGACATCTTGAATCGAGGAAAAATGATGAACTACAATCGATGTCGCACACTGGCCGAACAAGTTTGCAAAGTAGATGCATCGGGACCTTTTATTGGTAACCATACTATATATCGAAGTCTGGTTGGTTCTCTCCAGTACTTGATCTTCACCAGGCCTGACATTGCTTTTGAGGTTCAGTAAATTTGCATGTACATGCATGACCCTAAGGAACAACACCTTCATGCTCTGAAGTGCAATTTGTGCTACATTTGTGGTACCATTAATCATGGCCTTCAGATTCATGTATCCCCCACTACCAACCTTGTTGCTTACTCTGATGTAGACTGGAGTGGATACCCTTCCTCTCGCAGATCTACATTTGGTTATTGTGTCTTACTAAGAGACAACCTCATATCTTGGTATTCCAAACGTCAAGGAGTTGTTTCAAGATCTAGCATACATGCAGAATATAGAGGAGTTGCAAAACACAGTCGCCAAAACAATCGTTTACTGTGACAACATAGGTGTTGTGTATATGTCTACTAATCCGGTTCAACGTGAATGCACAAAACATATAAACATTGACATTCATTTCATTTGTGACCAAGTTACTAGAGGTCAAATAAGCGTTCTTCATGTGTTATCTTTCGCTTAATATGTCAACATCTTCACCAAAGGGCTATTTACATCTCTTTTTATAGATTTTCGATTGAGTTTAAACGTCTAGGTTCCTTCCCCTATTCAAACTGCGCGATGTTAGCTTTCGTGTATATTGTATATATTGGTTAGTGCATGTATTTGCATATTTAGCCGAATATGTATCTTATAGTGTAGTCCCAATTGTGTATGTTCTTCTATATATATATATATATATATATATATATATATATATATATATATATATATATATATATATAGTGTAATTCCCTTTTGAGGTGATCAATGAAACCATTTCTCAATAGTTTAAAGTAGTTTGCGTGCTCAATCCTTAAAATCGTTAATTTTAACTCACACAATCCTTATGATTTGTTTTGTTTCATCTTTGGTCCCTATCAGAAATGAAATAACTATATTACCCTTACCAGTTTTTTTAAATCTATTTATCATTTGTTTTTATTTATAATTTAAAAAAAAATAGGCACACCACCCCATACCCACATCTGATCCCATTCCAACCACACACTTATTCTATACATGTACTTGTTTCTCTTAACAAACAACAAAGAACCCTAATTTGGACCACCTTTCATCACCGTTGGAGGACCGACGACCGCCTATCTGCATCTCTAACCTTGTATCTCTAAAGCCACCACCTTTTACTTTTTCTCTCTCCTCCACCTAGTACAGTCATCCACCTAAAAGTCATCCCACCACTACCACAACTTCATATGGTGTTTTCAGACATGAAATAGTGGTGTGTTGAGAAATTCTTTCCAGTAATCGGACGTGAAAGAGTGATGTGTGGGGAATGACATTTTCCTTCCGATCTCCTTCGAACGTGAAAGATTGGTACGTTGGGAAAACCTTCAAATATCCTTCCGAAGAACCAGATCCACCCTGAAGAACCACTTCTCCTTTCATATGATGGTATTTCTTTGGTGATCTGTGTGCTTTTCGGGTTATAATTACATCATTTGTTTTATGTTCTTGTTTGGATCGATGGTTTATGATTTGTAATTTAGTTATTGGATCTATGGTTTTTGTTATGTATCTAGTTTTTATATTATTTTTGTTTTTTTTTTCTAGAGTTTTTATTATCAGTGGTTCTGATAAGAGGTTGGTGGTGAGGACTGGAGGTGATTCTTCGATGACTAAACACAATGAAGGGTGGAGGCATGGGGGTTGGGTGGGGACGAGTCTCGTTTTAATTTATTTTATTGTTTAAATAAATAATAAGTTAATAATTAATTAACTAGTTAATTAAAAAGGAAACAAATGAAGGTAACATAGCCTTTTTACGTTCGACGGGGACTAAATACACAACAAACACACTATAAGGATCGTTAAAAAATTAGGGACCAAGCATGCAAGTTACCCATAACTAGAGGTGTCATTCATGTAGTTTTCTATATATAGTTCTAGTATCGATGTGTCTTGTCACTTGTAATTGTATTAAATAAGAATCTAAATATGAGGAGGGAGAAGCATTAATGTCAACATTGAGAGGAGCTACAAAGGCATGAGGAAGTAGTGGTGGTGGTTTTATGGTTACTGGATGCTTTCGTTGTCACACAAATACATTCGAACTTAATTTATTATGGTGTTGGTTCGCCAGAGTTGAAGGACCAAAAAAAGAAGGATGGTGAAGACGTCGATGTCACTAAAGATGGAAATGAAATAGAAGTTGAGGAGGATGAGAGATGGGATGAAGACCGGTGGGACCCAGATTAAATTTCTTAAATTTGATTTCAGGTTTAGGGTGAGGAGATACAAATATGTGAGGTCTATTAATTTTTTTAAATATATAAAAAATAAATACATAAATAAGAAAATTAATTAAAAAATAAATTAATAAGGGCACAATAATCTTTTTAGTTAGGACAGAGACCAGACGCGCAACAAAAATAAACAGTATGGACCATCCGAGTTAAAAAATAAGTTAGGGACTAAAAACACAAATTCCCCCAAACCATAGGGACCATTCGTGTAATTTACTCTTACTTTTCGTTTTGTTCGGTAACTATTTTTTGGTACACATCTAGGTAACGAACTTGTTGAAAGTGATCACATCGACGATGTAACCTACTATAGCCGGTCATAATGGTCATATGTATACACTTCCAACAAATTTGTTACCTAGATGTGTATAAAAAAATAGTTACCCAGATGTAAACTTACTGAAAAATTAATTACATTCCTAAGTCATTTTCCCTTGGGGGAATGGATTCCAATACCCTTTGTAGCATAAATGAGGTTAAGAAGTAACGAAAACCATAACTTAACAATACTTACACCATCACTCTCCCATTAATTCGTTGTAAACAACTATTAACTACATTATTGACTAGTGCGTATCTTCAGTGGTCTCATTAGTCCATGGCTTCTTTTCCAAATCATATTTTGCTTATAAATTATGGTGTTAGTGTGTCTATATTTATCTCTTTACTTATGTTTAATTATTCTACTTGTATATCGGTGTTCCTATGTTTGAATATTTTCATTCCATATTAATTAAGTCATTCAAAGTTTAGAGATTATGTGACTCATTGCATATTTGAGTGAGATTGGACATTGTAGCTAAAAATTGTATTTTGGTTGTTCTCTTATTACAACATGACGTCTATCCAAAGTTATCCTAAGAGAGGTAGGGGTGTTTGAATCTGCCGCAAGTTAAGTAAAAACATAATATAAAAGGAAACTCTGCAAATGCAAGGCACCATCACTTAATAATAAGAAGATGGACTCTTGTTCTTACAAGAAGACATATAAAAATATATATATTAAATCGATGCAATATTAAGTGTGAAAAACTAACCTGGAGATGACTAGCAACCTGCATTCTCGTAAGACCAGGGACATCCATAAGATTAAGTATCTCCTTTGGAAAACATCCTGATATGGAAATACGGATCAATTTTTAGCATAATAGAAATTCAAGGGAACCCATCCAAACTTTCTTTTATCTGATACAAATAGAAAAAATAATTCAATACAAAATAAAAAAAAGGTGAAAGATGAATTTATACTTCCTTCACCAAGCTCACTGATAGCATCAAGGAATTTCTTGTGAAGCTCTGGGGTCCACTCCAAGCATACCCTTTTTTGCGTGCTATCATCATCAACATCATTATCATCATCATCATCTTCTTCTTCTTCGGATGATTGGTAGAGTATATTATTATTGTCAAGATTAATTTTGTTGATCACTTGCTTCATTGGGCCGCATGTTTCCTTCCTTTTACGACCAGATCTTATATTTTCCTGTATCGGTGTTGCTTGTGTTGTGGCCTTAACAACCATATTCTTTTTTTTACATTTTTCATGCTTATTCATTCTCTCTCTGATAATGTGTTGACGCATATGCCTTACTGCATCGATAGTAAGTGGCCTCTTGAGGACAAGAAAAGCACCATTCTTTAAAGCTTCAAATAGGAATACATCATCCTCTTGCTCAGACATCACTTGAGTATAACAAATTAGGGATGAATGAATATTAAAGATGAAAAAAATTACAAAGGTAATAAACTATGTTGTAAGAAAATATTAAGGCAACATGATAGTGTGATTTAGAACTCACCAATGGGTAGTACGTCCATGTTCTTTGTTAAACTAAGAAATGTATGAACATCAACATCACTGATGTCACTGTCTATCAGAAGGAGATCAAATTTGACTTTCTTTTTGGCGAGCAATTTCAAAGCCGCACCAGAATGATCAACACATGTGACTATATAAGAGCAACATAAAATATTTAATTATAAAAGAGTATAGTAGTAATAACAAGAAATGAGGGAATGCAAATTATTTTATACAATTTAAAACATGATTCATCAATTCTGTTGTAGGGCGTTCATTAGTTTTGTTAAGGTTCCTTTGTTTGAGATTTTATTCAATTCACAAATCAAACAACCGAGATTTGAATTTAAAATAATCATTCCAAAACGAATACAAGGCAATAATCAATCCAAAACGAATACAAGTCTCTCTCTCTCTCTTCCTCTCCTCTCCTCTCTCTCTCTCTCTCTCTCTCCTCTCCTCCCTCCCTCTCCTCTCTCCTCTCTCTCTCTCTCTCTCTCTCCCTCTCATCTCTCTCTCTCTCTCTCTCTCTCATCTCCTCTATATATATATATATATAGATATAGATATATATATATATATATATAATAATATATATACTAGTTTATAACCCGTGATAACCACAGTTATAAAATTAATTAAACTTTCACTTAAAATTATTAATGAATTATGCAAATAAATTATTATTTAAGAGATATGCTTTTAGTTATAAAAAATTATAATCGTTGATTTAAATAAACACATTAAATTCTATCACCTTATAATATATATTAACTTTATTTTATTTATTATTCTAATGTTATTAATTTAATATAATTAGAATGTGAAATTTAAAATTTGAATAGAGATGACATGTGACATAATAGGTGACATATAATATTAATGAGGATTTCTAATATTTTGACACGTGTCAATAGGAAAATAAACCTATTCATTTATTAGAATAGAAATATATATATATATATATATAATAGATATATATATATATATATATATATATAAGTAAACTACAGTCTTGGTCCATGTGGTTTATCAATTAAAAACTTTTTGTCCTTTTTTGGAAAAGCAACACCAATAGTACCTATGAAGGGTTTTGATAACACCGGTGACCTTCCCCTCTAACCGGCCTCACGTATGGACTATTAAACATTTTAAAAATACAAAAATGTCATTCTACCATTTCTTCCACTACTACCACTACCCACCCACCTACCACCATTAGCCCCACCACAATCAATTACCATCAACAACCCCATTATCACCAGCATCACCAGACACTACCATCTCCAACCACCACTATCATCACCAATCACCACCACCGTAGCACCACACTTGCTGTCACCACTTTCACAACCACCATACCTTTCTTAACTTTTAAACACAAATACATATTTCAAAACACACCAGTTGCTGCTACCATCACTTCATCACCTCTAGGATGGTATTCTATAAATGGTGTTACATGATAAACCCGATGAAATTTTTTTGCTAATTGATCACAATAATCGGGTTTGGTCAACACTGGTCAAAGACGGACCTAATCGCCGCCTAATCGGAGCTATTGGACCTAATTGGTCAAACTTGGTCAAAAACATTCAAAATACTTTAAGTACGTGCGTTTATTTTTGAGATGTTTAAACTTATTGTGGATTTGTTGGATGATCATTTTGTGTGTTTGTTAAACTTATTAAGTTATTATGAAACTTTTATGCTTATTTACTTATATTCGTCAGATTAAAGTTAGATTTATAAATCTTTGAGTAATTTTCTTAATAATTAATGGTCCCCGATTAATCAGCCGATTAATCCACGCCTAGCGATTAACTGCTAATCCCCTATCTACCGACTAGCTAACGATTAGCGATTTCTGCAACTATGATTTATATATATATATATATATATATATATATATATATATATATATATATATATATATATATGATGCATGTTGTTTGTATGGAAACAATTTTATTTAATACATAAATTATGTATTTAATAATATTTGTCTTTATTATGTCATTCTTTGTGAATTTATAAAACTACCTTACTAGAATTACTAAATAAATAAAAAATATATATATATATATATTTAATCTACTTTTAATAAATAAAGATCTTTTTGTCACATGTCATATTTTTATTCAATTTGTCACATGTAATTTTGTGGTTATTTAAAAAAAAAATTCATAGGTTATTTTATGGTTTTTCTATTTTATTGAATTTAATATAATATTTAAATATAATAATTGCAATAAATATAATAATGAATATATATATATATATATATATATATATATATATATATATGGGAAAAGGGAATATACATTACAGCCCCACCTAAGCTTAGGTACTAAACCTCTTGAAAATACATTGTTTTACTATATAAAGATTACGGTTAATGGATTCACGGTTAATACTTCAAGATGTAAATTCAAGATCGACACAATAGGGTTTAGGGTTTAGGGTTTAGGGTTTAGGTTTAGGGTTTAGGGTTTAGGGTTAGGGTTTAGGGTTTAAGGTTTAGGGTTTAGGGTTTAGATTTAGGGCTTAGGGTTTAGGTTTAGGGTTTAGGGTTTAGGGTTTAATTTTAGGGTTTAGTAATGTTCACTTGGGTGAAGTAATAATGATAAGTGAGGAAAGAAAACAGAGATGGTAAAACGATAATGAAAGAAAGAAATGTTATGGAGGATGATATAATTACCAAGTGAAGCGAAACCGGGCATATTTAGCATGTTAAAACGACATATTTTAGAGGTTTAGTACCTAAGCTTAGGTGAGCTGTAATGTATATTCTCTACCCCCTATATATATATATATATATATATATATATATATATATATATCATTAAATGAGTGAGTATATATTTCATTAATGGACTTACCTTTTAGTTTCAAAATTCTTAAATTAAAACCTCATTAATTTATTTTGTTTATTTATCTAAATTATTTGTTTAAATTTAAAAAAGAAAAAAAAAACACTTTAAATTTAATAATTCAATCTTTTTTTTTTTCATTTTTCTTATAAATTCAAACTTTTTAAATATTTAGAACTTTATATATATTTTTTTAAATAAACTCATAAATCACATGGGTTTCACACCTAGATACTTTAATATCTAAACTTTTACATATTTCTATAGATTTAATATGTAATTAGTAAATGGAAATAAATTAAATTATTCTTATACAGTGAAATCTTTTCAAATATAAACAAATAGAAGATTAAAAATGTAAATTATGAATGGTTCATAATAAAAATAATATCTTTCTTTTTACGAACTTGATAATAATTTTTTATAACAACAAATATATAGATATCACCATGTGCCACTAACCGTTCCTCGCAAAAGTAGCAGTCCAAGTTGACAAAGCTAAACCAACGTCCCATACTCAGGAGCCATTAACTATGTTACAATCTCAATATTTCTTATATTTTGACATGAACATTTAAACCGATTTAGTATGGTACAGTCAGCTCAGCTTTATTATACAAGCCATTGACTTATTGGACATAAGATACAATAAACAAATAAAAACAAAATATGACTAGTATCTTAGTAAGAAAATATTTATATCATGAAAACACTAACAAATTAAAAATGTAGTGTTGATTAATACAGTCTCGTAAATAAATTGACAACAAATAAATTCAACCAAAACAAACTTATTTTATTATAATATATAATTAATTTCAATTAAGCAACTGAAATAAACATTATAATATCGCAATTTCAAGTTGATTGATTTTTAATGAAACTCAAGTTGATAACTAAATTTTTTAATGAGGAATGTTACCTTCAAATGAACATGAATGTAGCATGTCTGCAACATAACCAAGGAAGTCCATCTTACGGTCAACAACCAAAACTTTGATGGAACTAACCAAATTTAAATGTTCATTCATTTCGGTGTTTAAAGCATTTTGGAAACAATCACCAAGCTTCAACATTTTGAACACACAGATGGAGGAGAGATTAATAAAAGAAAGAAAATCTAATATAAGCTACGAGCGCGATATAAATAAGACTTAGAAGCTCCAAGTCTTTTATCTATAAAAAAAAATAAAAAATAAAAAATCTGATTTAAGATACCGAGATAAATTACAAAAGTCAGTTATCTTTTTTTCACTAAATTCTAAACAGATTATTAAATTTAAAGCTATTAAATGCTCCGGTCAAAAAAGCAAAAAACCAACTAAGAAATAAAAATCGCATTGATTGTAAATTGTAATTAAGAAGAAATAAAAGGGCGGGAGGATGAATAATTTTAAATATATTACCCAATATACAAGATTGAGTTAATCATGTCCCCACCGTAAACATTTGTGTACTTCATAATTTATTCAATTAAAATAATCAATAATAAGTTGTTTATGTGCATCCATTTTTTAGGAATTAAATAGTTAGAAATATAAATTATAGTATCTTAACTAGTATAAATTAGAATTATATATAGAAAAATCTTCGGGAAAGTTCTAATATTTTGGTCAAGTTTATTAAGAAGTCATAAATGTTATTTTGTTAACAAAAAAATGTCGATTACAGGATAAAAAAATTTAAATTAGCCATTTTTTTGGTATATTATTTTTTACCTGTTACCTCCAGAAAAGTCTTATTATTTGGCCTAATATATGAAAAAATCTCAATTTTTTTTACTTCAACTTTTTTTGTATTTTACTAAAAATTTAGAAATTTATTGTTTGAAATTATGAATAAGAATAAATTAACGTCATTAAGCTCTATAAAACTAAAGATCAAAGTCCTCTATAATCAATTATTTGCCACAAAACAATTACGTTAGCATCATTTTGAACTCATCATCGTCCATATAATCTATTTCTCACAAACATTTATTTTACAAGTATTATAAGATATTTAAATTATATGTTAAACACCTTATTACAATCCATTTAAAAGTATGTTAAATAAAACCAATTGTTATGTTCGTATACGAAACTAATAACTGATGACAAACCAATCATAGTAGGTTAGGTGAAGTTGTAATGATTCTAAAGAACAATATGAGTTTATTCTTAAATCTTAAGCATATATGAACAATTCATCCATGGATCAAGTACTTCACATGTTAATAAATTTAAATTATAGAGCTCCAGAACACCAAGACCGTAATAAAACGTGGTGTTTGATCTTCTAAAGATTCACTTCTATGATCACTTTTGGTTTGACACATAAATGTTTAAAATAAAGTTGTGCTTAAGATTTAAGGCTTATTATTCTCTAGAATCTATACAGGCTCACCTAACCTACGATTATATTGATTGGTTTGTTATTAGTCAATTGTTTGGTTTTCCTTTAACCTACTTTTAGGTGGATTGCAATCAATAAGGTGTTCAACACATAATTTGAATATCTTATAATACTTGTAACATAAATTTGTGTGGGTAATGGATTATACGGACGATGATGAGTTCAAAATGATGCTAACATCATTGTTTTCTCGTAAATAATTTGTTACAAAGGACTTTGATCTTTAGTTTATGGAGCTTAATGACGTTTATTTCTATTCATAATTTCAAACAAGAAATTCCCAGATTTTTAGTGAAAAGGTAAAAGAGTTGAAGTAAAAAAATATGAGACATTTTTATAAAGTTGGCTAAATAATGAGACTTTTATGGAGGTAACGAGGTAAAAAAAAAAAATTTACCGGTAAAAAAACATTGATCTGAATTTTTTTATCTGGTAATGAGGACCTTTTTGTTAACAAAATAAAAATTTAGAACTTTTTCATAAACTTGCCCAAAAGATTGGGATTTTCTGAATATTTTCCTTTTATATATATATATATATATATATATATATATATATATATATATATATATATATATATATATATATATATGCATTTTCTATGCCTTAAAGTTTCTCATGGACTTTTCTATTCTTTATTTATATATATATATATATATATATATATATATATATATATATATATATATATAAAGAATAGAAAAGTCCATGAGAAACTTTAAGGCATAGAAAATGCATAAAATGATCAAAGGGGTAAACCGGTCATTTCATATAACCAATAAAAAAGTTAATAATAAAAATATCATATATATAAACTATAATTAACTCTAAGTGTATATGTTACAAGTGTACCATTTATAAGGGGAAAAAAGATAGTAAAATTTGAAATTAACTTAACATGATGGAAGTACTATCTTTGAGGTGATAAAAAAGATATGGACATCCTTTATGTTAAAAGAGAGAATTAGAATGTCTAGAAGACATATATGACAAAACAATGAAAAAATCAATCAATTC